GGAGGCAACCAGCCAAATCGAATAGCTGCCTATGTGAAAGTTGCCACTTCCCTTGTTACTAAAAATTTGTCACCCGGACGAATGCCCTAGACAAGAACCCCGTTGATAGCTTCATACCCCAAGGGGGCTACAACATTCTCCTCACAATACTGCCTAAGAAACTGACGAACCATGGCGTACTCCAGAGACAACACCAACCCCACCAGAGACGGCGAGTTAGAACCCACAGATTCATTAATGGGCATCTGTGCATCATTTTGATTAAGAGCCATCCCCAAACATAAATAGAAAACGGAAAAGATCGACAAAAACAAGAAAGATAGATTAAACACAAATAGCGATACAAAATAAGACACCCTGCGCCCTTTTATAGGCAGCCTATGACCCAACGAAAAAAGAACTGAATAGGCGCATCCAGACGGATCATCACGAGGGACTATGTAGCATGACTCATTAGTACGCCCGCAAGAAGATGGGACACCACGGCACACTTAACCAGATGTAATGATACATCTAGCATCGTCACTCAACTAGCGGAGACCCAAACGACACTTGCAATGCTGTCACATCGACATAAGCGAAATGATGACCGCAGCCACAGCTCAATCACAAATCATCTCCCATGGACATAGTCAAATAGCCGCACCCACAACCATTGAGCCTGGTTATATTTTGGTGATTTCCTTCCTGACAACATTCAGGGGGGGAGCCAAAACACACGATTAGCGGACAATACTGACTGCTGCCAGAAAACAAATCACCAAAAGATAGGGGGCTAGTCCTTAGACCGTAATGAGCTACCAAGCACGAACATAGGGTACACACGATTCATACAAAACCACAAAGTAGGCAAAAACACCAAACCCAACGCACAAAGGCAAAACCACTACAAAACTAAAAAACAAAAGGGGCAATATGTTTATAGATAAGATTCCACTTACTGATAAGTAGGGGGCTAATGTAGGTGTGTACAGCTCACTCAGACCCTCAAAGAGCACTCAGACATCAAAATTAACACCACAGAAACACTTACAAGCAGCCTACAGTCAATCCCCCACGCTGCAATGAACTTACGGTTCATCGTCACTATCGCAATGAACCCACAATATGTTAAGCAGAACCACGATAAACCCGTGGCCCACCAAGTCTAGCCAACACCCAAACCTAAACAAGTCTCAAAGAGACTCGCCTAAAAGACCCAAGCACATTCGAGTGTGCAATGAAGCCACACTCACGGTTACATGCAAGAAACTCACCACCTGCAAACCCATTCCGGGTAGCGGATCAGGGAGTACAATGGGTCAGCCCATGGTGAGGCATGTGTGTGCCCAAACACACTCAAGCCCATGACAAAGAAACACTTTGCGAATTTCCACGAGGCATTAACAAAATACCGACTTTCAGATGATGACATCATCATCACCACACGGGATTAGTCATTGCGCACAAAAGGGTAGTAGTACATGTGAGTAATGAGGGATCTCGAGGATAAGGAAAGTTGATCCTTGAGAATATCTTCATAAGACATGTGGTGATACCCCAGTAGCGTATCCAGTAATTGCCAACGAGTCAAATATTCCCTACCCCGGTACGGAGCAAATATCCTCGTCTCCTACCTTTTAGGATCTCGGGACTTTCTCCATAAATAGAGGGTCCTCCTCGTGTTAGACATCATTGAATCTTGAGCATTTTGCAACCGATACTTCCACATTTCCTAATCCATTACCAAAAGGCTTTGGTCTTCCTTGAAGGCTCTTCTTTGTCTTTCAAAGAGACCACTCCTCGACCTAGCTTTACACCTCAATCCTACAACTGCACTAATATTTTGAAACACCATCCGACCTGTGTAATGTCGAATGGTTTCTAAATCTGTAAAACATCATCTGATCTCCACTATACCAGATGGTCTATACACTTATGAGAATCATACAAAACCTTGTGGTCTATTGGGTTCTATGTGCATTTAATGGTGTAACTAGACCATCTAGGGGATAGATGTTTGTGACTATAAATGATGTTTCAAATTTGTAAGCAATCATCCCATCTTTTCAATATCATATGGTTTTTAAGTACGTAGTACACTATCCGGTCTTCCCTATACTGGATGGTTTGTGCACCTATAAGAATCATATATAACCATGTGGTCTACTTGGTTTTAAAGGAATTTGAGTGTGTTAAATCACATGTGTAATTGATGATTGTAACAATAATTGATGACTCAAAATTGTAAGCAACCATCCAACCTGTGTAATGTCGAATGGTTTCTAAGTCTGTAAAACACCATCTAGTCTCCACTATACCTAGTGGTTTGTACAATTGTGAGAATCATATAAAACCTTGTGGATTGTTGAGTTTTAGATGAATTTGAGAGTGTAAATACTATTTTGTCACCTAAGTGATAGATATTTGCAACTGTAATTGATGATTCGAAACTACAAGCAACCATCCAATATTAGCTTGTAAAACACCATCTAGTCTGTTTGTTACTAGATGATGCCTAAATGTTTTTCCCTTTGAAGCACTGCTTGTTGTTAAGTTGTTAACTGAGTGCCTGAATTTTTTTCCACACAATAATGCATAAGTTAAGTGATTGCTTTTACCGAAGTTTTAGCGATTTGTTTGACCTGTATTGACACCATTTCCATGATTTTTGCAAAAATTTATGCTAGAAGTAGAATCTAACAAAGGTGAATTTTACCAATGAATTCATGTCAGATGAAACCTCTGTCAATACAAGGTGGTGTGGGATTTATATTCCATTAAGAAGTTAGAAACAACAAACACACAAATAGAAAGAAAGAACACCCTCAACAGCGAAACATATTATTTCAAAGAAAACGGTCCTTTGAGCATACAAAGACAAGCTAAGAACCATCTAAGGCATGGAAAAATGGCACAAACTCCCCTTTTGCTTTCGTTCTTTTAGACTGAGATGCCAACAGAGGCATGAAGTAGATTTGCTTATGGGAGAGATAGATCAGAGATTAGGGGAGAGGTGTAGGCTATCAGAGATTGAGGGCTTTTGCAATTTGGTCCTAGTAAAGACTTTTTTCTTCCCACTATATGTTTTTGCAATTTATTTTGAAATGTATTTGATTTTTCCAATTTAACAAATTTTGTTAATTTTATGTAAAAGTCCCTTCCAAATTTTTTCTTCATTTTTTAATAATACCACTATATTTTTTAAATTTAATTTTTTAAGTTTAAATCTTTTGAACCAACTAACCAAACCGATATAACCCGAATTCCTAGTTTTCACTAATGGTCAGTTGGTTTCGCATGACCAACTTCTCGACCCGACTAGGTCAATTTGGTTGGCCAAACAACCTACAACTAAACTAAACCATCCTGTGAACACTGCTAATTTCATCTTAACTAATAGTCTAATCTCTAATAAATAACAATAGTTTAATCTCCAATAATTATTGAAAATTTTATATTAAATAACAAAACAAAAATAGATTTATACATAACTATTAAAAATATATTTATCAAAAAGTAAAATAAACAATTACTAAAAATACAACAAATATAAATTTTAGTATATTTAAATATATAATAAATATAAACTAAGATTTTAAAATTATTATTAATAAATATCAAATTTTCTGAAAGTTATTTTCTATAGTTATTAATTGATGTAATTGCAATAATGTTTTTATTATTAGTACATTAATAACTTTAATTATTATTCTATTTTTTAATATCTATTAAAAACATTTTTTTGAAAATTATTACCTATTTTTGTTATTCGAAAGCTTCAATACCTCTAAATAATTTAATATATTTTCATTATTTCAATAATATTTAAAATTTTTAAATTATTTATATTTTATATTCTTATTATCAAATATTATTAAATCTATTACAATTATATTTTGTGTTTTAGATAAACTTTTTAAAGTTATTACATAATTTTGTTATTTTATCAATTTTACTTGTTCTTTAAATAATATTTAAAATATGATTTAGTTATTAATTTTTTTATATTTAAAAATTAGTTATTTACAATATTATTTAATTATTTAAGTAATATTATTATTTAGTTATTTAAACATTACTTATTGAATTTCATAATCCGTAAAATTAAAAATTATACTATTATTACATATTTCATTATTAATTCAAATATTATGAAATATATTATAATAATTTTTCTACTGGCAATAAAATTTTTAAGTTTATTATATAATTTCGTTATTTTAACTACTTAAAATTTAGTTATTTTAAATAAGAATTATAGATAATTTAGGAAAAAGTAGGGACTAGACCGGATAGTGGTGCTACTTGACTATATTAGATTAGATTTTGGTAGAAAGGGATTTTAGGAGCAGTTTTAGGAGTGGATATCCAAAGTGATAAACATTAAGGAAAGCATGCTAAGATGTTGAAATGAGGGAGGGAGAAGACACTGATGTCATGGCTTCGTGAGAGAACAAAAAAGACTATATGAAATGGGGGTTGAGAGTTCTCTCTTGGGGTAAGGGAGAAAGCAAAGGCCATATGACATGGCACCAACTACTTTAGTATATATATAGATTAGAACCAAACCGATTTGGCAACTTGATCCTATTTTTAATGCACTTTAAGCCTATTGAGCTTAAGCCAATTAAAAAGCCCAAATAACATGCATACCTACATAAATAACAAAAACAACTCAAATATCAAATTGAAATGTCAACAAGTGCCACCTATTGCTATTATATAAATTACATTGACATTTTCTCAAACAACACACACACAATAAATCAGAATTTGCACTCCCATACTTGCAACAGTTCAAATGAAATTGAACTGTAAGCAAACCAGTGAGCAAAAAAACTTAGATCTCTGCTTCTCTAACTCCTTTGAAGAGGGACTGAGGGAGACAGATTCATTCAGGTTGAAACAGTAACCAATTGAAATTTTAATTGTTTGAATTGTTGGTCATTGTGTATAATAATAACAGTGAAAAGTTAACAAATAGTGATTTTTTCCCTTGATTTATTGGACCGCCTGCAAATAATGTGCTACAAAAGCTTAATAATGTCTGAATGAAAAAATAACAATGTCATATGCTCTGTAAACACTTAACGCATCAGAATAATTGATTTTTCATGAGATAGCCTGTCTTGTTTCTTCTCAAGTGGGAGGAACCATTTCGTCTCTTAGAAAGAATGAACGGCTTTGAAATGCATCTAGACTGTTGGATAACAAACCACCAAGGCTAACACTATCTCCTTTAATAATCTGCCGGGACGATGACAAGCTTAGGTCTAGAGACCACAAAGAATCAGTCTGCATTAGGTTATTAAAAAGCAATCAGAAACTATTTGTTAAATATGAGTTGATTAGCTACTAAAAAAATGAAGGGAATATAAGGAAAAGGTTCAAATACCCGATTGATATCTGACATCCCAAGGCTGTTTTCACCATTATCTGCTCCTTGTGTCTGGGGCCGTGTATCTGCTTTAGGTTCTTGAGTCTGATCTTGTGTGTTTCCAGTTTTCACTCCCACCTGCAGAAGCATATCATCAAGCTCAGTGGTGCTCACCAATGTGATCATTCCCATTAGATAGTTTTCTCAAGAAATGTGTTTTCACTATTTTAAGAATGGTGGAAACCCATTCTTCTTTGTTGTCTGTTTTCATTTTCAAGTGTGAATTACACATATGTCAGAAATGGATAATAAAAATAAATAAAAAATGGGGGCCGCTGAGATGGTAACTTATTTCCAAATTTTGGAAGCTTATTTTTTCTAGTTTTCAAAATCAGTATCAAGGTTCAAAATATCGTTACATATCAGCACAGGCTGATACGTATCGTATCGTGGCCTTTCTGATATGCCCCTATCTTGAGTGTTTTGGGTCAGACCATGGTTCAGAGGGTGGATGGGCCTTAAACCAACCCCTCTGAACCAGATTCGAAAAAAAAAAAAAAACACAAAAAAAGCACCAATTCAGGCCGATACACCTTAAGTATCGATACTTTGAACCTTGATCAGTATCATAGCAACAGAAAATTTCCAATATGTGAAATTTTGCATTTTATGGTATGTGAAATCAGTATAATCTGAATACAAATGATAAAGATAAGGTACAAAGGTTAAGACATCGGATGACTAGGGACATTCACTCATTCCATTGTGTTGATATTCCCTTCTTAAAATCTACCAGGTCCAGACCAAAGTAGTGGTGAGTCCTGTACTCAATTTTCCGTTTATAACCTCTACCAAATATGTATCATACATTTAGGAGTTGTTTTGTATCAATGGCATTTATCCGATAAACATTTTGTACAAAGTTGCTTCGAAAAACAAGAAAAATTTGCCTTCAAATATTTACATACAACTCAACATCACTAGGCACCACACGTGTCAAACAGTAAAAAGATCGCCCATAGATCTGACATTTTTCTGATAAAAGGCTCTCATGTAACCCAACAGAAACGTTTATCAATTAAACAACTCAACCAAACAATAAATGGGCCACTTTTCTGTTAAATGCCTACTTGGCACTAAGCTGGCATTGTTGCTCTGGAAAAATTCCATCTTCATCTTCATTCAAGAACCAAAAGATTCTCCATAAAGATGTAGAGAAGAGAACAAAGTAAAATAAGCTGATTATCTTCTATATACTAAGGCTCCATTTGGTTCGTTGGAATAGGGGTCTAGAATCGGAATCAGAATGATCCTAGTGGAATCAGAACTGGAATCACATTCCCACTCCTAATGAGATGGCCATTCCTTAGCAAACCAAATACCATCTTAATCTTCATTCAAGGACCAAAAGATTCTCCATAAAGATGTAGTAGAGAAGAGAACAAAGTAAAATAAGCTGATCATCTTCTATACACTAAGGCTCTGTTTGGTTCTGGAATAGGGATCTAGAATCAGAATCAGAATGGTCCTAGTGGAATCAGAACCAGAATCCCATTCCCATTCCTAGTGGAATGGCCATTCCCTAGCCCTCCCTTAGGAATGAGAATCCATTCCAACTGATTCTGATTCAGATTCTGACTAAAAACCAAACAAACCCCAGAGTCAAACAACTTAATCATAACAAAATAAACAACCAAAATTTGAGTGACCAAAACTCAAGCAAAATCGGAATCTGAATTTTGGTCACTCAAAACAGAATTTTCTGTTTCATGGATAAACAGAATCTCTGTTGCAATTTAATACAATCGCTTGAAAGCAATTCAATTGAGCCTATACAATTATTCAAGTACAACTATTCCCTAGTTGCAATAATAGTAATATCAATAATAAATGAATCAACGAGAGAGCATACCTCAACAAAATTGGGAAATTTGAATGACTTGGAACATGCATCCTGACTGCAACCCCTGGAAGAACCACTTATAGATGAAGACACGATCTCTTTGCCAGACAACGAGAATTTTTGAAATGAAAATGCATGGCATGTTTCCTCTGCATCCAAAATTGATGAGTGTGATAGAAGGGAAGGTGGTGTTGGTCCTTGATGACGACTATATATATGAGCAGCTATAGCAGCATCAAATGAATCAGAGCTAAATGGAAGCTGCTGCAAGGATGATTGATTTGCAGTTGGCACTGGATCGCATTGATTAATATTCCCCTGCAGAGAGGCTTCTGACAGAAGACCTCCAATGCTTATATTAGTTAAACTGTCAGCCCAAGCTAGCGAGGATAGCATAGTCCCATTGCTTGTTCTCAAATTATCCTACATACAGAAAAAAGAGCATAAACCAAAAAGGTATCAATATATAAATAACAAAATAATAATTAAGTTCAGTTTCTGTATGCAATGGAGTACGCTCATTCATAGTCCTATTTAGTGGATTTCAGTGGATTACGGACAGGACATGGTTTTTGGTCTAAGCCACTTACCTCAGATGGTTGCTTATGTCTATTCATAGTACCAATTATTCCACTGCAATGTTTTTGTACATCTTCAGATTGCAAAACATCACTTGATGTAAAAGGTGTCTGAAGAGTTTTAGATTCTAGATCAGAGAACCATCCATATCTGTTTGAAAGAAAGGTCCTTGTTAGCAAATTAAGCTGAGTAAATTTTTAATGGCCAGAAATTGGAATTAAACTATGCTTCAGAGTTCAGACCTTAAACGGAAAATAGCAGGTCTTCCAATGGCTTCATATACATCTGCTGAACTTGTATCACCATCTTTCACTGTCCATCTTCTATAACCAGCAAGATTTTCCAACCGAACATTATAGGGAAAAAGCACAAGCTCACCCATCGCAACAGTTGAAGTGTCCCACTTGTTATGGAGATGCTTCAATACTGAACCTACCTTCTTTCTAGAGCTTAGAGTGAGCTCCAAGTATGGATTATGACCATCCTATGAAGCATATAAGAATAAAAGAATTATGCTTCATGAACCTATCATGAAAAATTAAAAATGTCTAGCTGATCAAATGCTTAGTTTCTTAACTATACCTTCTCCAATCCAATGCGAGTACCTTCATCTATGGGAAAAAGCTGTAGCTTCATCTTTCTAGAAGGTTGAAGCATTTGTCCAAGCTCAATCTGAACTGTAGTCATATTATCACTTGCTTTTGAATGACCTATTTCTTTCACTGGGAGCTGCTGAAAATTTTCTTGAGGTGTAGAAGGCACAGGATGCTCATCTTTTTCATGCAAGCTAGTATCAGTTTTCCCTAGAAGAAACACCATGCAAAATTAAGAAGTAAACTATGTAAGATTCAGTCAAACCAAGATATGGGCTAACTGAATGCATCCTATAAATTTTATACAAGCTCCTAAATGACTCTATAATTAAGCAAACAATACTCTGACTAGGACTGGGAGAACTATTATACATCAAAGAGAAAATTTCAAGGAAACCTTACCAAGTGACGAAAAATACAAAGAACAATAACAATTAGATGATACATATTACTTGTTGCTTTTTGCCACTGTCCAGTTCTCTTGGCAGATGTTTTAGTTCTCTTGCAACTAAGGTCTGCACTTGCTTTGCTCTTTGCAGAAGCCTCACCTGTTTTCTTTTGCTGCCTAGCAGTTTTCATGGTAGAGCCAAGCCTAGTGGGAAACAAAGCCACTGATTATTATCAACTCCTCTTCATCACAGCATTCCAAACCCCAGTCTCTAAAATCTTAGAGAGATGGAGGTTAAGAACCAGTAATTCTACTGAACTAGTACCATTATGCACAATCAATTTATGCTCCTATTTTCTTCCCAAGGAAAAGCTAAAAAGGACACTTTCTGCATTCTAACATAGTAGAAATTTCAAGACTATAACTTTCACCCATCATGTGTAACCAGGGAATATAGAGACTCTTTATAAAGAAAGACAAAAATGCCATAAGAAACTCAATTCTCATGCAAAATGCTGTATCAATTTGTTGGAAGGAGATTCAAATTTACAAGAACCTCTCTCCTCTCCCTCTTGTTTTTTGTCTTTTCCTCTTCCCACCCTTGAGTGCATGGGAAGACTCCTATGAGTATATTTGTAGCTTTGCTCTCTCTATGGATAGGGACCCATGGGAGGAGAGCACTATAGATATTCCATGCATGTGAGGGGGGTTTGGGGGTGCTTTTCACACGTGCACGCCGAGCCGGGCCGGGCCGGGGCAAGGATGTGGGTGTAGGTGCACGCATTGCACCGAATCATTTTATCCTTTTACTGAATTTGAATTTCGAACTTAATGTGTTTGCGTCTGCTCGAACAGGTGACTGTTCGAATTTCAAAATATATTTTTTTTTGTTTTCATGTCTCTTCTTCCTCCCTGTGCCTACCTGTTCGAAGAGTCTCCTATCTGTGTCCATTCAGGTCTGGGAGCACTCTAAGAGTGTTGGCCGACCCAGTTTTTTACGGAACAAGTTTTCCCTCCTTGTCTTCTTTGAAATCTGAGCATCAACTTCTATGGTTCGCGGAGGTCTGGTAAGTGAGTGCATGCCTACCAGTGGCCTGTTAGCTGTTTTATCTTGGCAACCGGTTTGCAATCACTCAGCTGCACCGTAAGGGGCAAATACGGTTTTAAGGAGAGTGACCAAGTGGCACGACTCAGCCCTCCATCTTCCTATAATTCTCAGTTTCGAGTTCCTACAACAATTTCACATCACTGCAACTTCAGTTTGGAAAGCGAGTACCGATAAGTTCCATCTGCTCTCTTTACTATTTTTACAACACAGTTTCTTAAGACTCTATAAATCCTTAGGATCCTAGTCCAACAGGAAGTAACTAAATTATAAAAAGGTTATCTAGTTGGTTCAGTCAATCTCTCGAAACCCAACCTACATTAAAAGGTTGGGCCACTTAGCTCAGGAGCCAGAGCCCACCTAAAGCCATATTTATGCCCAAACAAAGTAGACTATCACCTGTCACCTGAACATGTAAGCCATCCTGTTAGATCACTGCACACGGCACAACAGTTGATTCTTCTAATTTTACATATGTTACTACGTCAATCTCATTACCAATCTGCCTATGGATATGGGCTTGATTAGAATAGACCAATTAACTAAATATAAATTTCTAGAATTCCTGCTTCTACCCAAAACTTTCTGCCTCTATTCAACAAAGCTTATAAAGTGATAGGAGCACCAAACTTAACAATAATAATAATAAAGAAAAAAAGTGATTCTCTTTTGGTATTCCACTTCTTTGGATGTTAAGATTGATTAAATGAAGGCAACACTCACACCAGATTGGCACTTCCACAGTCACTCACAATTTAGCAAATTGTCTACCAGCTCCATCGTCCTTTCACATCTATATCCACACGCATCTGTTCGTAGTTTTGACATCATTTCATAACCGAATACTCAAATAGTTTGAGAAGTACCTCAAATGGGTCTTATAGAATTGCAGTCGAAATCGGTCAAGTGAGCGAAATTCAACGAAACAAATCCTAGAAAATGGTTAAAAATAAATAACGAACGCGTATCTCCCTCGTTCGTAGCGATCTGAACGTCGCAGAACAATCCCAGCGAGGTTTCGGATCTCTTTCTTCTCTTCCAAGTTTAGAGATTAAAAGACGAATTACAAAGGAGCTGCAGAGAACACACAGAAACCCGCGAAATATTTTGAGAATTGATTTGCCTTCTTTCAAATACAAAATTTCGCAGAAAAAAATCTGCCGCCTTTTCGAATCCAGAAGGGGTATGATAACCGGAAGAGAGAATTTCTTGACCTTTGTATCTTAAAAGTTAGGGTATAATTCAAAAACCTCCCCTGAATTTTTTGACAACCATAAAAACCACCCCTATAGTTTCATTTTAATAAATACCTCCCCTGAACTTTTGAGAAATTCAATAAAAACCTTCATTCCATCACTCTCCCAGGCTGAAAACGTTAGATTGATGCACTAGTTTTTTCCAAATATCTATTCTACCATTTTATAAATTATTTTATATACAAAATTACTGAAATAATCTCATTTTAACTCAACAAAAATACATATTTCAGTAATTTTATATGTAAAATTACTCAAATGATCATTAAAAGAGGTTTTTGTTGAGTTAAAATGGGATTACTTCAGTAATTTTGTATATAAAATAATTTATAAAAGGGTATAATGGGTATTTAGAAAAAACTGATGCATCAATCTAATGTTTTCTGTTCGGGACTATGACAAAAGGGAAGTTTTGTTGAGTTTTTCAAAAATTCAGGGAAGGTGTTTGTTAAAATGAAACTATAGAGGAGGTTTTTATGATTGTTAGAAACTTCAGGAGAGATTTTGTATTTTACCTTAAAAGTTAAAACATGAAGGACTAGTGGAGTTGGACTTGGGCCGTGGTATGGCGTATGGTTAGGGCCCAGACTCCAAACCCATGATAACCAACTCACTTACACCTAGATAGGGATTGCAAACGAAAAAATAGTAGCCCAGTTTAATCTACCCTACTTAGGCTCTATTGAAAATTAGGCTCTAATATAAGCCTCTGTTTGGGACTATTTTTAAGCATTTATTGGAAAAAGTATTTATTTTAGGCAAAATCACACCAATAAGTACTTGTTTGCATTTGGAAAATAAGGTTCAATCAACACTTTTTAAGGAAAAAAGGTCATTTTGAATAAGCTCCAAATTTTGACATTTTTTCAAAGTGCTTTTTGAAAAAAGGCCTTATTGCATTTTCTAAACACTGGTGGCTCACACTATAATTTTCAAAAGGACAAATTTTTCAAACTATCCTTACTATTTAGTTAATTGGCTAACTCTACCCTTACTATTTACATATTGTCTTAGAGTACCTCCTAAGTTTTTTGACAATTGACTAACTATACCCCTACCGTTAGCATCCGTTAATGTTCCATCAAAATCCATATACATATGACACCATATAAAGTATAAATTTTTTTTAAAACCCAATATTACCCTATTCGTGAGGATGTCGATGTTTCCGTTATCATTGCAGTTGCCAATGGTGCTACCTTTCGAAATCCCAAACTCAAGATAACGGTAGAAGCAATTCTGAACTCTACTCCCAATGACATGGCAACACTCATTCAATTCCACTTCCAGGTCGATGCGCATGGCAACCTCTGAGCCAATTGGACCACTGAAGACATGGCAACGCTTGTCCTCATAGAACTCAGGACATCGAGACCAAGAGCGGGACGGTGATGTTATTGTTGGGTAAATTACACTATAGTAGCAGAAATGAATGTAAAACCAATCCCAGGACAGCAAGAAACTTTCCCCCAAATTTGTGTGTCAAAATGGGTTTGCCAACAACAATAATAACAAGTAAACAATTCAGCCAAGTAACAGAAAAACATATAACAATCACCACACAATAGCACACCGGAATTTTTACGTGGAAAATCCCAAACTCGGGGAAAAACCACGGGACCTACGGTCCGTAAAAGTCTTTCACTAATTCAGAAATTAATGGGTACAATAGTCTTCTCTAGTTGCAACTAGAGGCTTACAAACATCAAAGAAATAATCATTGGCTCACAAGAACAACATTAACATCACCAAATGCAAGGTGGATACGACACAAACATAAGTTTAGATCTCACCAAGTTGCTATAAATCTGAACTGAGAAGTAGAGAAAAGGAAGAAGAATCATCAAATCTGAACTGGAGTGGGATTCTTAACTCCAGCACTTAATATCATCAAGAACGAGCTTGAAAGGCACCTCTGAACTTGATCTTGAATGGAACAAGAGCCACCTTTTTCCTCTTCTTCACAAAACTCAAAGAACCAAGAAAAAACTTTCCTTTTTTGGTTCTGTAATTTTTTTTCTTCTTCGTTATTCTCTATTTGGTGGTTACTAATTTGACGCCACCAAAAAAAAGCCATGACCGAATAATGTGGTAACCCACTATTTGGCTCCCTTTTCTTTAGGAAGTAAATGAAGGTGGGGTGGACCCCTCCATATGGGCTGGACCCACACTCAACAATTCTCCCCCTCTAGCTCATATGGGGGGCTTCATCAAGCCCGCAACTTCTTTGTAGAATTCAAATTTGTCTCCAGGCAAGGACTTTGTTAACATGTCTACACCATTCTCATTAATATGAATCTTCTCAATGTTCAAAAACTTTATATCCAACACATCCCGAATCCAGTGGTACCTTACATTAATATGTTTGGATCTTGAGTGGAAAGTTGGATTTTTAGAGAGATGGATAGCACTTTGACTGTCACAATAGAGAGTATACCTTTCTTGCTTCACGCCCAATTCTTGTAAGAACTTCTTCAACCATAGGATCTCCTTATAGGCTTCTGTAGCTGCAATGTATTCAGCCTCTATAGTAGACAATGCAACACACTTTTGAAGTTTGGATGGCCATGAAATTGCTCCCCTTGCAAAAGTCATTAAATATCCCAAAGTGGACTTTCGGGAATCAACATCACCAGCCATGTCTGCATCAATGTACCAATCTAGCATGGCT